CTACCACAGAAGCGCAGTATATTGATAGTTGTACTCAGGCAAAAAACCAACCAACCAAACAAAAACCTCAAAACCTRCTGCTGGTTACCGTCTATCTGGGTTTTAGAATTTTGTGATAGGAAGATTACTTTTTTTTTTTCCCCTGAAGTTGAGGCTGAAAGAAAGGGGAAACTGGATCAGTATTTGTTGGACAATCAAATCCAAAATAACTCAATTGAACTCTAAAATGTCTTGCAAAAGAAACATGRAAACTCACTTGTGCCCTTTTTAATGATAGCCTCAAAGTAATAAAGTTTTATCACTATGTGATCCTGGCTGATAATGTTCAAAGGTTCTGCTAACGGAGAAAGATGCATGTTAAGCGCTTCTATCTCATAATGAGAGGAATAGAGGATGTTAAATGTAGCTTTAAACCAATTTAACAACTTGTCAAATGTAAAACATTGTTACYATGTGTTTAGCAGTCCACTTTTTTTTCAGGATAGAAAAGAGTTAAATTTCTATTGYAAAGAGCAAATATTTAAAGCTGTAATCRTTTGCATAGTATATTGTTTTACATTTGAGGAGGAAATTATTTTATTTGAACCGAGTAAGCATTAACAAAACCCACCACATTTAGTCTAAGTAGAACTGACCTGACTGTTACTAAGGCTTCATTTTTCTCATTCCTGTGAAATCATTCTAGTAGATTGTTTTCCCCTGAGTCCCTGAATCACAGGTTGAAGACAAGGCAGTTTTTGAGATGGTCTGCTTTCAGTTGAAGATTATGAATGTGATACAGGTAAGTGTCATCATCAGTATTGAAGTAACAGAAATCTCTGTTAAAAATATACTAAAAAAAACTGTATTTCAAAGAACTTTTTAAAAGTATTTTTTTTATAAATTGTCACAGAAATGTTCTCTAGTATCAGGGTAGAGATGCTGTCAGTTTTCATCTAACTTCTGGCAACAGTTCCATGGACAGCAAATATCTGTGGGCTGGTGTGTTTTAATTTCGTTACTCTGCTCTTTTCTGAGTAAACTAAAACAAAATGATAAAAGGATAGAGAGATAAACTTGTACTGAACATCAGAATATTTGATCATAGAATAATTTTCTTCTAAAGTGCACAGTGGGAACTACATTTAAAAGCTTTCACCTATGAATTTTTGTTGCTTCAAATAACTCTACAACCTACTTCAGTGGAGTTAAAGGAAATCTAACATTTCTGACCAGTAAAAAATGAAGTACCCAGGAAACTGGCCCTCTCACTAAAACTTCAGGAGCATGGTGAGCACCCAAAATAAAATGGGTCAGCATCCAGTATAAATGCATCCTGTATTTAAAAAAGAAAAAAAACTCACATTATGGTTTTGAGTGCATATTACTATAGTTTTATAATATAAAACAAACTTATGAAGGGAAAATAATAATATTGTTATACCCCAATTCCTTGGGAATTAACATGAGATGGTAAAAGACAATAAAAGTGTCATCTGGACCAATTCCTTGGGAATTGACATGAGATCACAAAAGACAACCAAATTGTCATCTGGATTGTGGCTGGGAGTATTAGGTTAAATAATGGAAGTGTGAACCTCAGTGGAAAAACACACAGTCAAAGAGAATTAATGAAAGGTTTTAATGTTGTTTATGGATACTGCTGCTTGAATGCATACATAATGCACTGCTGCAGTGTCACATCTCTACCTGACAGCTCTATTCAAACAAATTTGATTTTTATTGCCAAAGATAAAAAGGAGCAAAACCTTAACTTTTCATAACGTTCAAGTGCTCTGAGCAGTGTTAGATGGGCTTCACTGAGCTTTGTTGTTCTCTAGAAAGTGACCTGCTTTGCAGTACAATGATAGTGATAAAATAGTTAACATTTTGTATGTGTTTTCACTTTTTAAAATTTGTTTTGCAAAACAAATGTTAGCAGGTTTCTTGGGTGATATTTGAAGTTATATACACATACTTATAAATGCTTGTGCAAATTCCTTCCATGATGATGGACTGAATAAGTAACTAGAGATAAAATTAGGTTAAAAAGAACTAATGCAAAGAATAACATGCCCACTCAACTGGGAACCACATTCTGCTGATGATCTCATTTCAGTATTTATCTCTGCAACTGTTAAAAGGCAGAGATCAATGTCCCCCTCAGTGTTGGTTTTTNGTACATGGGTGCACTTTGAGTACTGCCAGAAACAAATGATAAATACCAATGCAAATACATGCTCAGCCAAGGAGGTCTGGTAAAAAGTAATTCCTGCAACGTATCCTGTTAATGTTCAACTGCTAGTACACAGGATTTTTAGCAAATGTTTATGCAGCAAATTCTGATCATTTGCTATCGAGTTTTTCATTTGATGTACATCAATGAACACTGCTAACCTAAGATTTGAAATATACACTATTTTATGTGTAAATCTCAGGCATATTGCCTCATTCTCTTCATCCAGGTAGGTTTCTGTAGGAAACCAAAGCAGCACACTGCTAAGACTTAAATTACATAGCTATGTATGTAAGTTATGGATCTAATAAAGATCTTCAGAAAAGGAGTGAAGAGCTACAAATTATGCTTACTGCTGTATGCATTTCTGGTCAGGAAGCTCACAATCTAGTGACAGCTGTACTATTATTAATAGATAAAGAAACTATTTGGTAACTGAAACAGCCTCTTACTACTTACAGTGCAAGCGTCATCATTTGTGTGTGCTGCTAATCTGAAGAAATAAACCAGGTCTGCCATCTATTTCCTTGTTCCCTTTTGTTCAGTTAGGTAGGGCATGCAAACTTGTGTTACAGATGTTAAAATATAGTAGAGTTGAGTGTTAGCAGATACAGCTGACAAAGCCATAGCCCTAGTTTTTCACTACAAAATGAAAACTATTCTAAATTCTTGTTTTCATTTGAAAACAAAGTAAACAACAGACTAACTTGTAGGCAGACTCTCAACCTTCAACACTGTCATTTAAGAGATACAGCAGGGCAAATTCTAAAAACACTCATTTATAAAACAAAACTCAAAATTAAGGAAATAATTCAGTATGTCGTTTCTCCAACTACAGTAAAAACTATCATTCACTGCCTGCACTGAAAGCAGCAGGATCTATGTTCATTTTGCACCTTTTTCCAGTTTTAAGATGCGCTACTACTTAAAGTACTGATTTTGAATACTACATCTTTGAGTAGAACCAATACTTCATAATCAGCATGGCTTAAATATATAATTTGGCACTGATTCTGCAAGTAGTGGGAGGCTCAGCTTATATGAGGGTCCATGTTCAAACATACAGAATTGCAGGACTGTTATTTACATAGGTAAACTATAACATGAGAACAGGGAAATGTCTGCTAGCATTTTACAATGTAAAGACTATCTAAGCAGGAAGAAAACCATTAATCAGGACTGAAATATAGCTTGAGCCATCTTTCTGGCTGCTTTTGGAAGACAGGATCTGCTGACCAGCAATGAATTTGGAGCTTGGGTAACTTTTATCTTCAGTGTTTAGCTACTAGATGCTTAGGTTATGTTATCTTTGGATGGAGGAGAGCTGGGAATGTCCTAGAAGGTGATCTAAAAACACTGCTGAGAACTGCACCTCAACCTGTACTTTCATGTAAAACATTAGAAATGTGAAACTATACTAATGGAAAAATTTAAGGCTCCTTCACTCTTACAGTTGTGAAACTTGAAAACTATCATTTTAAATTGGAAGCAAACAGACTACAAATTAAAAGTAATTCTTTAGTAATCTACATCATAATGGAGGGGGCATGAAAGAATGGTAACATTTTCTGTAGGATGACGAACAGTACTGAATTAGCCCTTTTTTAATGTTCCTGATTTTCATGACACTGGATATGCCAAAAACTGGTGTAGCCCTGATAACAACTTAATCTACCTGTTCTTTTTGACCAAGATCTTCAAAAGGGACAAGTGATTTTTTGCTTAAGTTTGTGCCTTCTGAAAATGAGCTGCTTTGAAGTATCAGGATTGCAAAAATCACCTGTTGCTTCTGAACACCTTTGCATTAACTACAGATTTAAAAATAATCCTGCTACTGCTCCCTTTGCAAATCCAAGTTTGTAAGGTGCTTGTGAGTCTAAATCCAGAGAGGACTGCTGCCATCAGTATTTTAGCTGCATATACAATATATGCTAACATGACATAGAACTGTGTCTGAAAGACTTCTATAGGTAGTTGAGTTAGGGAAAATATTCCTCTTAACAGTATAAATTTTTCATCTCCAGTGAAAGATTTTTCCTGCTGAGTATTTTCAAGAAATGAAAAGCAGTGACTTGTGACAGGGAGAGGGAAGCAGATGAGTACAAGGTGGGAGGTCATCACTCAAAAAGAGGTTGGTTTCTTGCAAATAAGAAGTTGCAACATACGCAGTTTTCAGCTATTCTGAAGTTTTCTTTCCCACTATATATCCATATTGTATTTAAGGAGATTTAAAGAACAACAACAACAACAAAAAATCAGTTATGAGATTTAAGCAATAACCACTCCAGTAACATAACATCAAATATATAACCAGGATTAACCCTGTATTTGACCATTAGATATAAGCTAGTAGGTCATGGCTACCAGTCAGTTCCATGTTTGTCAGTTCCATGTTTTCCAGTTCCTGTTTCCAGTGGTGCAGGTCTTGAGTCATGGAATGAAACTGACAGAATTSAGGGCAAAAACTCAAAGACACCCACTTGGAAAAGGGAGCTATCACTGTGCAAACAATAGGAAATGTATTCACCTATTCCTTTCTCAAGGCTGTATTTAAAAACTATAAACTAATCATGCTTGACAACGAATCTGTGATATTGCTCAAGCTGATTTTGCTATTTTTTAAAATGATAACTTTAAAAAAAAAAAAAAAAAAAAAAAAACCCTGAGAGAAGCTTGCCCAACCAGGGTCTGTACCTATATTGCCTATATTGCCTAACAATGCATAGGCCCTGGGATAGATGACTGCTATTTGCTCCTTTAATCAAAATGTTGTGTATTTTGACACTCCAAATACTTTTAGCAAAGATACTGTCTATCCCTTCTAGGCTTTCTGGTTCTTGCTGGAGTGCTRAGGATTTAAAGAGAGATTTCAAGGTTGCCTATTTTAAAAGTGACCTACTTTGCCAACAATCACATTACGAATGTTTAGAACTTCATGTATGTGTTTCCCTCCAGCCATCTATATCCCCATCTTACATCAACAGTTCCAAGTTGTTTCTTCCACTTTTGTAACTTATATTAAGGATATAGAAAATAAAATAGTGGGGATAAAGGTAGAATAAGTTTTTCAGATGGTTTGACTTTTAGGACTACATCTCAAGAGTCCCCTTTTTAAAATAAGACACCAAAGCAAACAGGATTGTGTCTAACTTCTACAAAATTGCTGGTTTCACAGGAGGAGGAGAATATGGCTACTGTGCTACTCAGCATTATACTGAAGCACCATCTAAATTCCAGTAAAGTTAGGGATATCACCTAGCTTGTATCAGCAACCACACCCCCAGCCTTCTACAACGTCTTTGCTGTCAAGCTTGATGCTATCAGTACTCTTCTCACTGAACATTGGGCCTCCATGCCTCATCATGAGCTCTGTGGCCATCTTCACAAAAGCCTCTTCCACATTGCTGGAGTCTTTTGCAGAGGTCTCTATGGCACAGATGATATCATAGTGTTCAGCCAGGCTTTGAGCTTCTTCTAGCTGAACCTCTCGAAGGTCACTTAGGTCAGACTTGTTTCCTGCAAGGAAAACAAAACAAAACAGGGGGGATAACTGATAAGTATTTATGTTAGTATAAGTACTTAGCAGAAGGTTCTCAACAACCTGACACTAGTATTGCTTTGGTCAGGGGATCGGACTAGATGATGTTGATAAGACCTCTTCCAAACTGATTTTTTGTACGACTCCCACATAGAAAAGCAATTGTCCATAACTCGGGTAACTTCAGGTAACTTCAGGTAAMTTCAGGTAAMTTCAGGTAACTGAATAGCAGTGGCTGGACATCTTAAAAGGGGAAAATCAGGCTAGAAATCAAAGTTAAAACCACTTTGTAAGAAGAGGAAAGGAAGACAAAAATGAAAACAGGAGTCTGATGATTCCTAGGAAAATCTAAAATACTGATATTATATTATTAGTATCAAAGGTATGCCTGAGTTGCAAATATTGGGTCTGGAAGCTTAAGTTTCTAGCGAGAACTTGCAAAGCCTGACAGAACTCCTCAATCTCTTGAAGGATGTGATCATCCCACTTGCTCAGAACACGTCTGCTTGATAAACTGTAGCTTCTCTGGGCTTATCATAAGAATGGCTCCTGAGCAAATCTCCAGTAAGCAACAAACAAGAATTTCAAACCAAGCTACCAAGCTTGTGATACAAACCTGGCTCCTTTTTGACAGAAGTTCATACAAACTAATTTAAAAGAAAAAAAAAAGTTTAAAATTTTTCAATTCTATTATTGTTTTATTAGTTCTTTTACATATTAGCTAGCTTCCAACAGAAGTAAAACTCTTACACATCTTAAATATTGCAACTAATTAATTTTACAGTACTGTAGTGCTAAATATTAATATTTTAACTCACCAATCAGCAATTGTACAATGTTGGAACCCGCATACTTTCTTACATCCTCGATCCAGCGAGGAATGGACTGGAAAGAACCTCTTTTGCTGATATCATAGGCGAGGATTGCTCCATTGGCGCTTCGGTAGTAACTCTGTGTAATAGTTCGGAATCTCTCTTGGCCAGCCGTGTCCCAGATCTGCAGCTAAACAGAACAAAGCATGCAGTGAGACACTATGTAGCTTAAATACTCTTCATGCTTCACGCCTTCAGGTATCTCTTTTCTTGGGAATAAAGAATACGAGTAAAGATTTTTAGAGTACATTATGCTTTCCTGATTAAAAAGATAGGATTTGATTCAGTAGATTTGTCTATTTATCTCCCTTACATATGTAATACATTTTGCAGTCACTTTTTTTCCCGCTAGTCTTTTGTTAATGATTTAAGGAAAATACTGCACACCAGAGAACTTTTTCATACATGGCCGCCTGGAGTTGACACCTGCTTCAGCTCCTGGGACACTCTGGTTTCATGCTGGTAAGCTCTGATGCATCATCCTTTGTGGCAGTTCAGGGCAGTTTCACTTTCGCCTGTGCCACCCCACCCCTTTTCCTGCTTTCACTAGCACAGGTGGCCAAACAAGATATTAGGCCTCCAAGGGCTAAGAAAGCACTGTAGACGTAGCATAGCCAGTGCGTCCCTGAAAACAGTAGTAGGTTTTCACTAGCATATTATCTGAGGTGTTGACTTGGCTTTGCCAGATCTGTCATAGGGGCAGTAACTACTTATCACTGAGAGGTGGAATAGGAGGTGGTGGCATCATCTGAGAGCACCAAGTCTTTTTGATACAGAAACATGAAACAAAATCATAGCATAAAAGTAGTGCCAGGATTCTAGGAGTTAGCGAAGTCAAAGATGTGGTTGTTCCGCAACTTGAACAACTGTTTCAAATAGTTTCAAACCCATGGTTTGTTTGTTTTTAGAAAAAACACAGCAAATTGAAGTATTGATATATAAGGAATATAAAGTTGTTGTAAAAGTTCTGTCTGTCATCCTGTCCTTTTTTTAGGTGACAGAGCTGACACTGTATCTGAACAGAAAGAGGAAGTGCTCAGTTTATATGCTTTTGCCTAAATCTAGTAACATAAAAACATGATTCTACTATGGGGGTTTGAGTTCTCAATACTAGGTGTTCCATGGAAAGGAAACAAACAACTCAGAGTGGACAAACAATATCCTGCTCTAAGAGGAAATTTAATTTTTAAATCATCTTTTTTTTAAAGTTGTCTGATGTCATGGAACATAACAGCTTATATCCTAAAAGCTTTTAATCTAAAGTAACCATAGATGTTCTCATTCTCCATCTAAAACTCTAATCCTTTGTGAATCCTTCACAGCTCTTGGTCTCAGCACATAATGAGTATCAAAGACTTATMATTTCTTCTTAATTTTATGTCATTGTTTCACTTTTTTTCTTTCTAGCTCCAGGTGATAAATGAGCAAGTAYTATGTGCCTTTTTGCATCATTTGTTATATTCTACATCTCCTCTTACCTGAGAGAGGACGTAAGTAAATACTCCTCTTTTTACTTCCTATATTATGGAGCTGTTATTTTTTTGTTCCTCTCTCCCTGAACCTTCTCCTTTTAAAGACCTGAAAAGAACTTAGCATGGTTTTTCTGTGATGTTTTACACTTAGTAATATGAAACTGGTATATATTTGGATATTAGTATTTTGTTTCTATCTTCTGTCCTTGCTGCATGTTTAGGCAGAGATTTTCATTTTGCAAAGCGCCATATTGATATTACTTCTCTGTGTTGGCTAAACATTTAGAACCCAAACAAAACAGGCAGAGCTTGAAAGGAACAAATCAAATGAAAAAAAAAAAAAAAAACCAGTTCTGGGTTCTGATAAGAGTTTTTTCAGAGAAGTGAAAGAGATTGTAATGGACTCAGAAAAATGAAAAATACAATCCAATTATTTTTAATGGTACAATGATTTAGAATAGTCAAAAACTACTAGAGACAAGGAAGTTCTTAGTGGGTTTATAGTGTACTCCATACCCAAATGTTTTCCATTACACTTCTGCATCTAATGTAGTTTTAAATTCCAATACTTGATTAAGCTAATGACAATTACCCAACTCTTCGGAGAGGTCTGAGAGATAACCGTGCATATAGAAAAATTAAAAACATTCTTTCACAAAAGATGGCATAAATGTAAAATTTACATGGCATAAATAAAAGTGATTTAGCTATAGGGTGATTAAGACAGTCTTTCGCCTTATGCTGTACATTGATTTTGAAAACCTCTGTGTATATATATATATATATATATATGCAACTTTCCTAGAATCACAGGATCACCTAAGTGTAGGTCCCCCTGAATGGCATCCCTGTTCTTAATTTATCTACAGTACCATCCAGTGTGGTAGTAATGAGGCAACATTCCCTTTCCTTCTATATGTCATTGTTAAAATTATTAAGCTGGTCAGTTTCTCAGATAGACATAGGCAGTCTTTAGGTATAGTATGAATCATTAACAGTTACCCTTTTTTACCCAATGATTCAGTCAGTCTTTCTCCCATCTAGTAGCCAAGTCAGGTAGCTCTTGCAGCACTCCTGGATTTTTATATATTTATTTTTAACACCAGTATCTGTGTCTGTGTGATTGCAGGACTGAGCTTAAAAAACTGCTGAAGCTCTGTCCAGCAAAAGAAAAGCACAGACTACAGGTCAGATGTTATGAGTAGCTCAAACAGCAGTCTTCCTCTCAAGCCACATCTTACAGGTAAGCTCTTCTTAGCTGATCTTGCTTCACATTCCCCTGCTTGTCACTTCTCCTTTATATAAGGGCTGTGAATCATTCAGCTTTTCACAAGATCCCAGTTTGTTGTGGTTTTGTTTTCAATGCTGAGATTACAGAATGTGTTAGATTTATCTGTGTGACTTACAGGTAAAGTGAATTCTTTGCAGACCTATCTATATACCAGTTAACATACATCTGCTTGTCACTGCTGTCATCTGTCCTGCTGGCAGAAAGAGCTGGTGGATGCTTGCTCCCTGTTTCAGGCAAAGTAAGCCAAGTAAAGACATGGTTTAATGATTTGCTTAAGCCAAACTAAGACCACACTGTCATGAAAAAATATGCTATCCCAGCTGCATATTCTTGCCCACCTTCTGCATGAAACCACTACTTGTGAAGCTGTACAATGAGTCATATTAACTCACAAATGTAACTGAAAAATAAAGCTTTTATTTGTAGCATTAATAGTAATTTAACAGCCTTATGGTACTGTGAGCATGAAGACTGCAGGGAGAAAGACATGACTATCTTTTTCTGCAATGGCCAATCTTAGTGTTTCTCATTTAAAAGACAAACCAAATACGTTAGATGCTAAAATCAAAATAACAAATGAACAGTACTAACTAAAGGTTATGGAACAAGCTGTGCTGATATATTCTTTATAATGTAGCTGTATGTATATGTATTACAGGAAGTTTTTATTTCATTGTTTTAAGAGCTTGAGCTTTTTAAGTAATATGACCAAAAGCATGTCAGTAACATGCTTCTAAAACATGACCAGAAGCATGCAAGTAACTATTTTTAAGCAACTCCTGGTTTTGTAATATTACCTTGACAACAACTTTGGTGAAAGACAGACAGAAACTGGAATTGCTGTGGAACTAACTGTATTAAATTCAATAGAGCATATCAATGAAAAATAGCAATGGAATTGGAGACTGGTAGTAGGCTTTTAGAGAGACTGTCACCTAATAACAAAAGAACAGAGGGTAAAGGGGAGAGAATAAATCTCCACTGAAGAGTTATTACCCTAAGTGAACAAAGACAAGGAGCCGTATTCTTGTGCTAGTTGTGTCACTACTGAATGGCCTTTAATTACACAGGCTGCTTATTCTCATCTGTTAAACTAAACCAGCTTTTAGCACCCATATGATTTTAGATCGCTGTACAGAATCACTATAAAATTAGGGCTTCCAGATGTACATTAGGCAAAATTTAGATTATCTTTTTATCAAATGCTAATTCCAAAATACACCTGCTAATGTCCAAAATACATCTGCACATACAGTGCTGTGTACATAAACAGTATCCATTTTTCTGCGATTTGTGGATGTCAAGCAACTCGACAACAATCTTTTTACCAACCTGTTAGTTCGATGTCTGAAAATTCCTCAGAAATGTTGTGCCTTGACAAATAAACATAAACTCATAATGTGTGAGGGGAAGCCACATGGAGCTAAAAATGCCAGCAAATCATACATGCCCTTAAAACAGAAGGTGGAAAAATTTACAGTGGCTGTCCAGAAAATCATTCTGTGCTGACTGATCAGACTTAAAGAAATCAGGGATTCGACTAATAGAAATGGCTAATAGAAAAGCATTGAAAACTGAGTGACAGATTGACCAAACAGCATAGTACACAAATATCTATCATATGCTTTGATGGATGTTCTTTTTGCATTGCTAAACATGCTCTTCCTCAAAGTAAAATGTTGAACAAAGTTCCCCAAAGAAACTTTAAATGTCTCCTTACTTATGTGTAAGAATATAAGTTCTTGCATTGTAAGAATGTAATCAACATTACAAAGTTCTTTCCCTGATTCTTCGTGTATGTCCCGCGTGTCCCCCTTCGTGAAATATCATGTGTGTCCCGCTTTGCTTTTATTTGTGAAGCAGCATTAATAATATAAATACTGATAACTTCCCTTATGAAGCATTGTCCCTTCCATGTTCTCAATTATTCAGAATATAACAACTTCCATTAAGATTTCCTAGTGAAATGATGGATGCAAAAACTTTTTCTGCTAAGCGATTCTACACCAATGGCGTTTAATTTCTGCCATCTCAAATGGGGAAAACAATAACAGACAATACTTTCTGTATGCTGGCAAATCACAATGTGTACTTGTAAAATCAAGTACTGAAACAATTCTGTAACGTAATCTATAAAACTTTTGCCAACAGCAACAAAACCAAGTTCTGTATGGCAGTATATTTCATTTTAAAGTGATGAACACACACACWAAACAGGTAGGTAAACTAACTATTGCCATTTGCAGAACCTTTACCTTTACTCCAACATGCCTTTTTTCCCCTTGTCCAAGAAAGCGAGACTTCATCAAGGAAGCGAGACTTTTAAATCCTTGAACCCAAAATGTTTCAGCAATATTATGGAACTGTAATCATGAGATTCAGAGTTTTAAACAAAGGGACACTAGCTCAATCTTAAAATGTTTGTTTCAATTTCAGAATGAGTGTTCAGTTGTGCTGCAATACTATCCTTAGCCTAACTGAAAACTAAGCTTAAGCCACTGGGGATATGGCGCAACTGGTGTTCAAATGCTGCATGTGGCTTTTTAGTACATGTTGCGCTGAAAAGATGAGCCTCTTAACAAGAACCTTGCTTTTTCTTACTTGTAACTTTTTTTTGCCTTCTGATGGGGCTTCTGTGCTCGGGAGCCAAGAACGTTGCAGGGAATTGGTACCACCAGTACCTCCACTGGGTAAATGTGGTATCTTTCTGTAACCCTAAACAATTAACTGATTTTCCCCAGCATGAGAAAAGCAGAAATCAGATTTAGATCTACAAAAGTGACCTTTTTTGAGATGATTTGGAAACAGTCTCTTAAGATAACTTTCACATRTGGTTAATTTAACAACTGTTCCCCATGCTTCTCTCAATCTGCTGGTCCTACATGCTTTCCTGGAAACATAGCAGTCCAGGGAAGCTTCTTTCTGGCTTGTAAACCATCACGAGCTGCTGGATTGCTAAGAAGGGCCCTGCAGTTAAAGTACAACCCCAGTAAGGGCTCTGGCCACTGTTGGTGTTTGTACCAGGCAGGACTGAGCCCGGCTCGCTGCTGCTCAGCAGATGCCACTTGCAGCAGAGGAAGCCGGTGTGTGCGCTGGCTGCCCGGCCCGGCTGCCAGGAGGTGCCGGAGCAGGGGGCACGGGGCCCCGCTAGGCGGGCAAGTAAACACCGGGCCGGCCGGCAGGGCCCGCGGCGGCTCCGCCGCTGCCGGAGGCGGAGCGCCCAGGGCGCTTCCTCCTCCTCCCCCCGGGCCGGCTGCCCCCGCCGGGCCGCGGCCAGGACCGATGCCGGGGCGGCCGCCTCACCTTCACCCGCTTGCCCTGGATCTCCAGGCTCTTCATGGTGAAGTCCACGCCAATGGTGCTGCCCTGGCGCTCGGCGAAGGCCCCGGTCTTGAAGCGCTGCACCAGGCAGGTCTTGCCCACGCTGGCGTCRCCGATGAGCACCAGCTTGAAGAGAAAATCGTAGCTCTCCTCTGCCTCGGGGCCGGGCCCCGGCGCTGCC